CAGCATGAATGACATGTAATTAAGACATGTAGAAACACAGGGTTTGGGAATTAAAGGCTACAGCGACTGCCATGTGTCAGTTATCTCAAAAATGTGCACTTCCTTCCACTGCCACTAATAAACCAGGTCAAGGTATAGGAGACAGAAAAACTAACCCGTTTCTCCCACCCCGTCTTGACAAACACACACAAAAAAAGATGGAACTTGTCCCAAAAGATACTTAGCAATAAAATATGCTAACAGTCTTACTAAGGCTGGCCCTGCAGTGTACACAGACTGCCAAGCCACCCTTTTCATTACCTACATACCACGTACAAATGCTAAAAAGAGGTCAACTGTATGTAATAAGGTACTTCAGAATGCAGCTAAATTATCAAAATGTGGCTGAGCTGGAACATTCACCTGAAAAATGTCTGTAAAAATCAGATCCTTTGACACTATTCCTATCCCAACCTTCCAAATCTTGTAGAAGTAAATAATTTTTTATTCAGCTAAAAAGCATATATTAACAAAACATGGGAAATAAAAAGCATGTTTGGCTTAACAAAAGACTCACAACCCTCTCAGTTCTTTTTAAAGTGTTTTTTTTTAAAAAAAAAATCTAGTTTCTGTTAAAACCAATAGACCATGTTTTTCGGTGCAAGTTAAATACTTTATTTAAGCTGAGTCACACTCATCGGATTGAAATCTAAATAACCTGTTCAAATACCTCTCCTTGTCTAATAAAGTTTCAATGTATGACTTGTGCAAGTCAGTAGGACTCTAATCATAAAGATGATAAGAGGAGAAATTAAACCTCTAGAATAGGTTACAACCAAGCTCAACAATTACAACAAGGTAGCTCTCTCTGCAAAAATACACCTCTTCTTGTAGATGTCTCTTAACAAATCATGGAAACGGAGACACAGCCAGTACTAGGACTGGTAATGTGTGTGTATCCATGTATGTATAAAATGTACACACAAAAATACTCCATTAGAGTCCAACGCCACGAGGTCCTAACTTCAGGTTTTTACTATGATGAGACAATTCCCATACCACTTCTCCCTTTTCACAGGCTAACCCCACATAAATTAATAGCAGAGGTGAAACCGTGTTAGTTTGGTGGAAAAATGTAATGCAGTACGGCTGGGAGTGGCTGTGGAAGAGAAGCTGAAGTGTGTAGTAGAACTAATATTCCAAATCTACTTCCTCTTTATTGTGAACTTAAGCCCTACTACCAACTAATTAGTAAGCCACTTAATCTTGCAGCTGCAAAATTCCCTGCAGGTCCTATCCCAGCTTTGCTCAGGGCAGGCACAACTGGGCTGCCAAGAAAGTCCAACAAAGCTATGATGCACACTCCCTTGCTACAGGCAATGATATTCTATGATATATTAAAACATACAGCCTAACAAGACACGAAAAAAATCAACAAGGGCAATTTAAGTAACCACTTCTCTGCATAACTGACTTCAGTTGGCAATCAGCATTAATTTACAACAGCCAATAATCTTCCTAAAGTACATCAATATTGAGTAATTCCAGGAACCATTATGGACTGATTTTAAAACAAAAACTCAAGACAATAATATCTTTACCAATCTTAATAAACACATTTTGAGAGATAACAAAACCTAGAAAGGTGAAAAGCCACCTCTTCTATCTGGTAAGCACATGTAATATATTCACACTAGCAAGACACCACGTCCTAATTACCACTCACCTGCTATGCGACCTTTGCTGAACCAGGCTGCACCTCCTCCCCACCCCCCTGCTGCTCCTCATCAAGCTTATAATTTGCAGCTGATAACTTGCAAGAAAATTTAGACACTGCAAAATTCCCTGCAGGTCCTATCCCAGCTTTGCTCAGGGCAGGCACAACTGGGCTGCCAAGAAAGTCCAACAAAGCTATGATGCACACTCCCTTGCTACAGGCAATGATATTCTATGATATATTAAAACATACAGCCTAACAAGACACGAAAAAAATCAACAAGTGTGTGCACTCCTCCCACAGCTGGCCCACAGCTTCAGAGAGATTCCAGCCATAAGCTCCTATGACCCCGGCTCTACAGAAACAAGCTGTTAACATGCTTTTACTGTAACCCCTCAGATTTCAGCTGCCCCACCTCAAAGAATTCAGGCCTTATCACTGACAGGGGGTACAGGCAAGATCAGAGGCCCCCACGAACGGCTCTACCCCCGCTGCAGGGGAGGCCGAGGCCCGGCCCGGCCTTGCCGCGCCCGCTGCTCCATCACAGCACC